CAGTTTGTCCCTAATTTCCCTTTCAGTACTTTGTTAAAGAAGAGTAGAGGAGGGCAGAGCTCTGACAGCTTCCAAGCAGAGCAAGCAGCATTTAGTCCAGGCACAGAAAACAAAACGCCAGTTAGCGTTCGACACAAACACTTCTTAAAAAGGAGCGCATCAGTGGGAGATGGCTTAAAAGCAGGTACATTGGCCACCTGTGAAGTTAACACCATTTAGTTTTCTAGGCATTAAGCAATGGCACAAAGCTCAGTCATCAAATTTGAAACACAAATGTCTAATAATTAGAAATGTAATCCCAGTGTGATTAAGTGTTAACAAGGCTGATTTGATAAAACATAGCAAACAGGAAAGAGAGAAAAGTACCAACGCAGATTTAAAAAGTCTTCAGATCAGTGCAACTCAACCCTCTATTATTTTGGTAAACACAGTGTCACTGCTGATCTAGTCAAACAGGTCATACCTTTATAAAATACAACAAAGACCTGGATGTTTTGTTCATATTGACATATAAACCCGTTAACACTGCGGTCACACCCATTCCTTGGGGTTTCGCAATACCTCCAGCATCTCAGCCTCCTGGGTACCTTTAGCAGGCTCATGCATGTACTCCCACCTGAGAATGAAGGGTCAGCCAGTTCGTTAACAAGCAACACATAACAAGTCATACATGAGCAGCACAGCTAGCACTGCTTCAAACCGGTGTTATCTTACCTAGCAGTGAGGGGCAGGGACATGAGAATGCTCTCAATCCTCGAGCCAGGCGTGGCCAAGCCAAACTTCACTCCCCTGTCATACACCAGGTTGAACTCCACGTATCTAAAACATAAAACACACAAACCCTGCTGTAGACACCTGGCTTCAAGTTATTTACTTAAAGGGTACGTTACGTATTTTTCAACCTGGAACCCATTTTCCCCTATCTTTGTGTCAATGTGACTAAGTGCGACAACATGTTTTGAAATTGGTCCAGTATTGAGCAGCAAAATGGGGAAGCAACGTAATCCTTTCCCTGTCAAAGTACGTTCACTTAAGTGTTTGTTTTTGCCACCTACAGGCTTGGATTGTTATTTAAAGAGTCTTGACAACATTATGGAAAGGATCCGCACAGAGACTGAAGAAGAGTAAGATAATTTTTGTTTAACAAGAAACAGTCACTATACAGCTCTTGTCAAAGCCACCAGACTCTAGGGGTGGGAATCTCTGGGCACGATTCGATTTGATAACGATTCAGAGTGCTGCGATGCACTTTTAAACGATTATCAATGCAATACAAAAGAAATATCTCCTTATTAGCTTAAAAGGACTTGCATCCCTAATTTTCTTCACTAACCTCAGCTCCATGGTCCTTCATTTCTTTAACAACCAGTTGTCAGACTCCTCTGAAAACTGAAATATAATTATCACGTTGTACAGTATACAGGACAAACCTGTACACCAATTTTGTCTAGCATTGAGTGTCAACATGCTCGCACAGTGTGCGAGTTAAAATCATCACTTGCGCATTGATATTAATGATGGTGTGACATTTCAATAGGGTGGTTATTCATTCCGCAGCGGTGGTGTGCCGAATACAGGGGGACCACTGGTCTCTGTTATGTGCACGCCACAGACGTGCTGCACTTCCGCGAGTTCTGCCTTTTGTGTTCTCTCAATATTACATTATCAATTAACATTTAAATAATTGATTTTTTGACATTTGTTAATCGAGTCAGAATCTTCCACGTCTGCATCACAATGCATCTAATTAGAGCATAAGAATTTTTTCCCACCCCTAAAGACTCCCTTGGTAAAAATAGTAACTTTACCTCTGTGGTCTACGCTGCATCGATCAGTTAGTCACATTTATTTTTTAGTAAAAGTTATTGTTGCATAATAATTGCAGTCTTCCAGGTAGGTGCTTTTTCATGCTGGTGCGCAGCTCTGACATAATGGCCGCAGTGCATGAACCTTTCTAATGGCAAAAAGTAACCAAACTCACATTATCCTTTTTGCTTAAGTTCTAATTTATCTGCACTCTCAGCTGCATAACCACACAACTTCAAAGTAATTGTAAAGTTTACCGAAGTTCATTGATGAGACTGAGACCGGGGCTCATTCATGCCATTCACTCTAGTCCTGCCTCTTCTTTCTCCTCCTTTATCTCACCCATCCAACCCCTGTCTGAGTTTCTAGCTCACTGTCACGCTTCTCCCCATTCATAAACAAGCTCTTCAGCTCATTTTATATGTTGTAGTCTCTCACTAAATAATTCAAGACTCCCTGCTGGGCCAGAGAGATGTGCCAGCTCATCTATCATAAGCAAGTTTGGTGTGTATATATATATATATATATATATATATATATATATTTTGTTTATTCATTCGTAATTGATTGACATTTGAAGCCGCAATGGTGTGTATGGATAAATCAAATCTGGCCTTTCAGTTATGATCAATTCTGATTTTAACAATCTCCTATAGAAAATTCATTTATGTATGTCAGTATCACCCACTGGTTATTTTTTGTGCTCACCTTCCTCTTCGTACCTGCTGCCAGTGCTTCTCCTCAGGGGTAAAGGAGTCGTTGAGGTGTTTGTATACGATGGGTAGGTAACAGGGCACAACAGTGCGGGCACAGCTCTTGACAAAGTTGAATGCCTCCTCATGGCTCGGGGCATCCAGGTCATCGAAGAAGATCCCTCCTATACCCCGAGTCTCTCCTCTGTGCCGGACGTAGAAGTATCTGTCACACCTACACACCAGAATAATTAGACAGGAAAATCTTTTAATTTGAACGTCTGGCAATACATTGTGCTAACATATTTATAGATAATTGTGGAAACAGGTTTGAGAACAACCTGCACAGGTATATTAGCAACTTCATTTAAACACTACACAACAAAATGTACAAGTAGACCCAAATACATAGACCAACAGCTTTTCCCATTTTTCTTTTCTGTCTTTTTTTTAAACCAGGGCTGGACTATGGGAAATGCACATTTTATATTATTAAAGGCACTCATAAAAAGTCAGTAAAAGTACAGTTACGACAAAAGGAATTAAAAGTATGGTCAGGTGAAAGCTATAGTGAATTTAAATGAGAGTTAAGTTAAGTTGAACTCTCACATCTGCCTGTCCATGAAGCTAACGCCTGTAGATAATTTGTTTAGCTTAGCATAAAGACTGGAAACAGGGGAAAACAGCTAGCCTGGCTCTGTCCGTAGGTATAAAGTCTGCAGCTTCATATTTAAGGGACAGATATGAGAGTGACGTTAATCTTCTCATCTTAACAAGAAAGGTATTTCCTCCCTTAACTATTCCTTTTAAATTTAACTTCAGATTAAGCTGACCAAATGTACTTATTGCAAGCGACAGATAAACCACACCCATCCTTTTTCATATCCCCAATGGTCATTCACAAACTAATGGTCATGGCGCAACGGTTTTTCTGCAACTGCAGATTTTAGGCAGATATCCTCTTATCATCACCTTACACTGAGGCTACACCCATTGTAATCCACACACACACACACACACACACTAATACACAGAAATCAGGCCTACAGATGTGCACGTGCTGATGTACACACCTCAGGACTAATCTTGAGTCAAACTGTACCATTTCTTAAAGTCGGGGTAGTACTGCGGGTGGTGCTTGTCACAGGCCTCCTTCAGGGTGTTGTGGAAGTGAAACGCATCTTCTTTATCGATATAAACTGGAGTCAGGTCTGTGCCTCCACCAAACCACCACTGCTTAGAGCCTGGGACACACAGAGACAAGGAAGAAAGACACAAGGGTTATCATTCATTCATGTACTCAATAGTGTCACTGACACCAAGACGCAGCTGCTGACATCAACGACTGACCGTCGCACACTCACCATCTTCCTCTTCGATCTCAAAGTATCTGTAGTTGAAGTGCACTGTGGGGATGTGAGGGTTCTTAGGGTGGATAACAGAGCTCACACCCATGGCACAAAATGGCAGCTTACCTGGGAGAAAAATGTGAAACTTCATCCCTTACTCAGTTACCACACCTCTAGTCAAGCTTTAAATCTGAATACAAATATCAAGTTAGCAGAACTTACCATCTTTTCCTTTGAGGACTTTCCCTCTGCTCCTCATCTGCCTGGCGGCCTCCTCGGTCAGGTTTCCAAACACAACTGACACATTGACCCCTGCCTTCTCAAACACCTTTCCATCTTGCATCACACAGCTGATTCCTCCACCACCTCACACACACACACACACACACACACACACACACACACACGGGAATAAATTAAAATAGGTTGTTCTGTTTCCTGGCAGATTAGGCCTTCTGCCCCTTTCTTGCATGCATCTGTGGCCATGATGCTTTCAGCACAAAACACGTCATGCTGTTCAATACCTTGCGAATCTTAATAGGCATTTTGCAGTTTCAGTGTATAACATATCCCCTCACCTTCCTTCCTCTCCCACCGGTCCACCTTGAACTTCCCACCGTCCACCTCCTGCAGGGCTTTGCAGAACTCGGCCTGCGTCTCCATGATCAGCATCTCCATCCTCGTACGCATCTCCCCTTTCCTCTCCTGCAGCACACCGATGTCGGTCACCGGAGGAGACATGAACCCCCGGCATCTTTCCAGGATGCCCCCCTCTTCCTCCTTTTCCACAGCGGCTTGAGAGACTTTCGTTGCCATTTCAGCACGCCGGAAGTGGTCGGCGTTGGCTAAAAACCCCACTGCTGCTGCTGTTACTGCTGCGGCTCCACAGAGCGCCAGGGCTCCCCTTCTGGTTCGCCCGGCTGCGGATCTGCCTGCGGTCCCATGAGACATGAAGCGCACGCTGAAACCCTTGAAAAACCATCTCGTCCCAGGAAGGAAAGACGGCGGCGTGCTGTAAGTGGAGGATAACGGCAAATGAGACGTTCCTGGGCTAGGAAGTCCCTTTAAATGAGAAATCAAACATCGTCTCGCGGTAGTCCGAGCCGTTTTGTTTACACAGCAAAAGACGATGGTGGCCATTGTAGGAGAAACAGCCGCTCTTCCCTCTGTGCTTGGCGCCCGTTGTCAGTTAATATGTAGCCTTCTTACTCAAAACATTATCAGAAGTTGTTGCTACGTGCTATCAGTCGTGCGTCAACTCAAGGGGCGTGTAGTTCCCACTGACTGTAGGTAGTTCCTCGGTAGTGACAGAGGCAACACGGAGAATGTCGTTCTTTGTCGTTCGCGGTACCGAGCTCTCCGAGCAGTGAAGGTCTACAGTGAACTCCAAGACCCAGAGGGCAATGCGCCTAAAACAAATGTTGCCTTCAAGGATTCCTCATATGCTCCGTGTTTTGTGCTTACCATGTGAAGACATTTTACACACAAACAATAAAACATGTACAAGTTAATAGGCTACTCAACGCTAAAATTAATTATTTTGTTCACGATGTCAACTGTATGTCATTAGTAAAAACAAACAAACGCTGTGTTGTGTGTAAATCATGATTCGTTACATAATTATTTAATTGTTTTGGATTGTAACTTTCTCTTCTTTGTCTTATGTCTTATTTAAATTTTAACTTAGACTTTACTGATTTACTGATCTAGACTAGGAAACAAAAACGGCAAACGAGTTGGGGCTATAACAACTTTGGTGACACAGTGTCCACGGTACCCTTCAGGCCCTGCTGTAGCCAATGTAGAGGTGGAACAGTGCCCATCTGTGGGCGACACCAGATGAATGTTTCACAACGACCAGTAGCCTATTTAATGTTGTATTATGTATAACCAATCAAAACCCATGTGTAGGCTAATTAAGTAAAACAGGTCGGGACTATTTCTGCCTTCTTCTCTGTTGTTCTTTGTTTTGAGTATTATTTTATATTTGGCCTGATTTTATCTATTTGTCTGCAACTATTTATCATTACTTCTCTACAAGATAAGTTATATATATAAAATAGATTCACTTTAAGGTCTGCGTTGATGAGTTTTCAGTTGATATGGTGCTTTAATAGTGCACACACCCAAACAAACAGAAGTAGTTTTCTTCTGCGGCTAAAACATTGACATGACATTTTTATTTTAATGCTTTAAATCTCTTAGAGCGAGGAAAGAGAACACTGGTTGAATTCATGTGAATGTCATTTTATTCATTTTGAATCTCCTATGATAGTGTAACTGGCTATTCGTTTTTTTCTGGAGGGTTCTGGGTACAGTTTGGATGTTTCCCTTTGTTTATAATGAGTAGGCCTACATGGAGATTTTTATTGTGAGTTTTGTTATGCGCGTGTTCAGTGTGCGCATGCGCAAAGTAGTAAAGCGTGTTGTAGGTCTCTATGACGACGGGCCTGTTAAACCTTTCAGGGCTGTAGAGGGGACTAGAAGGAGATTATGTACACAGGTGTTGCTCTGCAGACAGCCAGGCACTATGTGGACCAGTTAGATGGAGTGATAGTCACAAAACAACCGGGGTGTATGTTTTCTTTCACCGCTTTTAACTCAACAGGAATCCTACGCAAGAACCAGCTGTGGTGAGTTTACTATCTACCATATTGACCACCATTTCTACTGCTTTTTAATTCCCATTTGCCAAAAATATTGGGTTACATAGAAGAAATGTGGCAAGAAGTGTGCCCTACAACTCACCCTCTTAATTCTGTCTCTGTCCTGTTTATTTTTATAGCTCACAGAGCATTAAAATAAACTGGATTAGAGTCTGTGTATGTTAAACTGTCTTGAAGCCAGTGAAACTGGCTCTGACAGAACCATAGCGGCAGTAAACACAACCTATATGTGTGCACACCATAGACTGTATATAAAAAGGTACACACAGGGCATATTTCTGACAAAAAAGAGTTTATTAGTTACTCTGTAGTAGTGATTTCTGTCCAGCAGGAGTAGATCAATCCCTAAAACACAAGTAGGCTGCAGGAGCCCACAGTTCTGTAAAGCCCATATATCCACATGACACACTGAGATTATGAGCAGTTATTGATAGGGTGGATTCATGGATGGTATAACACTGATTGTATCAAAAAAATCAATGTGAACTGATGTGATGTGACACAAATATTAAAGTAAATGTATAATGTGGAAAATTTTTGCTTGTAATTTGATTCACGTGATGTTTTGATCATCCAAATAGATTGAACCTGATGGTATATCCTGATCTGCCCTGTACTCTACTGTAGGCTAGGCTGTGCTGTATGTCTGTTAACATCTTCAGTCACCCATTGCCACCAATCCCACCTCACCAACCTTGATGTCAAGAAATGGCAATATAGTGCTGAATAAAACATTATCAACTGCAATGCATTGACGCATTATAAAACAATTAACAATACAGTCATATTTTCTTATTTGTATGAAATTATGTTTTATTTGCTCCAGAATGTCTAATTTAATGTGATTGCTATGTGTCTGATAGTGGAATAGTTATTATTCACACACACATGGAACTTTCTGTTATTCTGGTATTGCACATTACCATACCACTACCTTGTATAATAAATTTATAGATAACTTTATGCATTGCTTTTATTTTTATTCTATTTTAATTCTAAATATTTGTATTCATGTTCTGGTTGTGTAGCGTGAAGGGGGACTACAACTTTAATTTGATTGTACAGCCCCGTGTTGGAGAATGACAACTAAATGTACATTGAACCTCGAACTGAAATTTAGAGCACACACATTGTTTCTGAATATAATAATAATAATATCTATATCCCAGCTATATGTGTCTTCAATTGGCAGAGTTTAACACAAAATTTCATACATTTGTATTATTATTGACATCCAGACATGTCAACGATGTCATTAGTTATAGATAAACCAAACACCTTGTACTAAATATTTGTAATTCTTTTAAGTAAGAGTGAGAACTGAAACTGCAGGGATGGAAATTCGGTTGTTTCCCTGCCCTTTACTATGATAAAATAAATAATTAAAAATTGAATTTAAAAAAGGTTTTAGCCCAGCAGTGACCTACAGGTATGGCAGTCATCGTTACAAATGTGAGTTTTGGCTTGAAGTTGGTACAAGAGGACAAGTCTGGAGGACATCAAAAACATTAAAAATGATCTTCTGGGGCCCATGAATGTCCATATTAGAGACCTTATCATGGACCATGTGTGCGTCAAGAGGATAGTTGGCCCAATGGTGGCGCTAAATTCAAAATAATTAGTAATCATCCTTTTGGGAACATGAATATCCAGAACTAGTTTCTGGGTTATCTGAGCCGTAGATATTGAGATATGGGCCGATGATCACTTTCCTTCACTAGCTCTGCTGCAGCAAGAATTATGTCTGAAATTTGTGTCTGATCTTCTTCTAGTGAAGATAATGAGTGAGGTGGTTTGCACAAAGTCCCAGGAGGAATATGAGGACGACTTTGAGAAGGATCTGGACTGGCTGATCAGTGAGGAAGGCCGGGGGGAGGACCAGGTAAGTCGGGCCTCACTGTACAAACTGCAATTTATAGAAACTAATTGCACAGACTGACCTATTTAAACTTTCTGTTTTCTACCTGCTTCTTTGTTTTATTGTGTGAAACTGAGTACTGCTCTATTTACTGCAGACTGTATGCTGCATGGGTCCCTGACCCCGCTCTGTGAAAGTGTGACAGTGAGTAGTGTTGAATTACCTGAGCTGGAACATCTTCCTATTCCATGTGAAACCAACTCTATTGACATGCAGTGACATACTTTCACTGTGCCGCCGCCGGATGCAATATTGATGAACACACTTACACATGTCTGTTATCACACCAGCACGCCTATTACCTGCTAAGTTTTGATGTTGCTCATTCTTTTACATTCAAATGAATGAACGCAGAGTGTCTGCCTTTCCACCCCACAGGGTCCTGACTTTGAGGACATAGAAGCAGACATTGACAAAGAACTGGAGAAGGATGAAAAATGGCAACGAATGAAAAGAAAGCCGAAAAGCCACAAGGAGGAGAAGAGAGGCAACAAAACAGAGGAGTTGGAAGAAGATGAAGAGAGGTGGCCCTCGCCTATGGAGCCATTAGAATTTGACTCAGACAGTGACAGCCCAAATAAGTCATCGCCATTAGTCCCTCCTCCTCCAGGGATGGATGACCAGACAGATGAGGAGAAGAAGTACATTATGGAGAAGATCCAGCAGGCTAACCGGGAGCTGCAGGACCAGGAAGCTCCGGATATGACAAGGCGCAGGCGGCTGCATTTTAAAGAGAAGCTGGTGGATCTGGTGGTGCCTCCGCTGCAGTTTGAGAAAGATGGCGGCAGTGGTGAGGTGGACGGGGGGAAAGGCAGCAAGGACAGAGCCATGGATTCAGAGGCAGAGATTGAAGTGTCAGGGAAGCTTTCGGAGCTAAAACTTTCCCCTCGGGAGGAGAGTGTAGGATTTGGAGGATCTGACATGGCTGGGGAGAGCAGTGAGGGAGGGCAGGCGGTCAAGGAGGGCAGAGTCCTTGTAGAAAAGGATGGTAAATTTGACCTGGTCAGCCTGAAAGAGGTGGAGAGTCAAGGCCTTCTCCCTCCAATAGCAAACAACTACAGTGACTACCCGCGGTCCTCCCCACGTCCCCAGGAGCAGACTGTGAGTGGCAGTAAGATCAACAGGTCTTCCTCCTCTCCTCGTGCCGACTCTACCCCCTTCCAGAAAGGCAATGATCACCTCTGTGCCCCCAGACCTCCAGCTCAGCCCAGGAGCAGGCCCAGCTCAGCCAGCCACAGCCAGAGAGGGGGCCAGAGAAATGGAAGCAAGCGGCGGGTGCAGTCGGCCACCGGGATACCCTGCCAGGCCACCTACACCCTCTCCCCACAGCAGAAAGAGCTGCTGCAGAGGATCCAGGAAAGGAAGGAGAAGCGGGCCAGAGAGGTGGGAAAGAAGTGATATAGTTGGGCAAAAAAAGTTCTGAACTCTCACCAGTAGTACATCAAAATAGCACATGCGTTACATTTATATTTCCACTTTAAGGCTTGCTGTTAATGACTTAAATCACTGTTTAAATCACTCCTGTATCTCATATCAGGCAGAGCAGATGAAACGTGAGGAAGAAGAGCAGAAGAGGCAGGAGAACGAGGTGGCGTTTAAGGCCTGGATGATGAGGAAGAGAGAGCAGTTTCAGGAGGAGAGGAGGATCCATCGAGCCCAGGAGATGGAGAGGATGAATTCTAAGGTGTGGCCACAAGGGGGTATACCAACCTAACAGAGCATAGATGTAGAACACAGCAGTGATATATAATGGGCTTAATTCAGAGTGAGGATTCACTGAGGGGACTGTTTGGGCTCTAGTAGGAATTATGCTCTTACATATATGTTGTGATCAGACATTACTACTGTCTTTAATGACTAGTCAGCCACTATCCAGTATTAACAAATACCTAAGAATTATTCTTAACTCAAAGCAGGAAAACCTCTGCATTTTGTGCATTTAGACACTGTAGTCAAATTTCCAAAATTCTCCTCTGCAAAGGAGAAAAAATGTTTTATCCGAGGTGGTGACAGTGGTCTATAAACAGAGGAAGGAGAATCACAGAAGAGCCAATTCACAAGCACTGCTCTAATAAGCATTTGCAACTGTTTCCACTTTATTACTGGATGCATTTCTGCTTCCTCATGCAGAGAGACTCCAGCGACCGAGAGGAGTCCTTCAGGCTGTGGCTCCAGAGGAAGCAGGATCAGCAGCAGAAAGAGAGACAGCTGGTGGAGATGAAGAGGCTCGAGGAGGACAGTGGTTACCTTTTACGCAGCCGCGAGGAGTGTGAACGTGCCTTCAAACTGTGAGTTCACTTTTACCTTTTCACTCATTTCAAGGCCTCTCACGTATGTATCAATATGTCTCTCTTGATGTTGCTGTCAAAATACATTCATGATTATATTAGGATAATGGTGACATTTTTACTGATAATTTAGTAATGGTAGTATCAACAATTGTATCCTCATGTATGCAGTATAATGCTATGTTTTTTTGCGTGGTATGACAATAGAAATATTTGAGAGTTCACTCAGTATGAATTGCTAACATTAAATTCACTCCTGCTGTTCTCCCTCCTCAGGTGGCTGAGGCGGAAACGGGCAGAGAAGCGAGCGGAGCAGCAGGCGGCTCGAGAGCGGTCCCGCAGGTTGGTGCTGGAGGAGCGACGTGCGAGACGCATGAGGGACCTGCTGTGTTCAGTCAACGAAACCAAACCGTTCAGTTTCACAGAACAGCTGGCCTACCGCTTCTGACCCAAACAAATCCAGCACGCCTCTCACATGGCCCTCATCATAAGACTAGATTAGATTGTATTTTGATGCTACGAATCTCTTGAAGACTTGGTGTGGGACATAAGACAGTTTATTATGTGTTCAGTTGTTGCTAGGGTTTTCTTTTCTGTTACCGCAGTGACCTCTACTCAGTGTGAACATACCAGGGTAAATAACTCATCCAAAATAATGTAATGGGGAAATGATTTTTACTGTATTTACTTTGTGTAGTGGCAGATGCACTTAAACTGAGCTCTTCATAAGTACAAGAGCTGAACCATTTGTTACTGTATGCCTTTGTCAAGAGAGTATTTGGTTACATAGCTATAAAAGGATACCTTTTACAACAAGTTACTTGTACGAATGAAACTGTAAAGCAATTAAATAGATATATCTGTAAGAGGAAAATTGGTAAATATGCCTATGTTTCTTCATATAAATTCTTATATGAATGTAAATTATTTTTGGATACAAAAGAATGATGTTGAATTAAATAAAATAAATAAAACAAAAATACACCAATAAATATTGATATGGAATATTTTATTTTTTAATTTATAGGCATGTACACATACTTGTGTGCTACAGCATTTCAGAATTAAATATCAGTGAGACAAAAGTGGCCAACCTCATAAAAATGACAAGATTAAGTTTCTGGTTAGCAGTTTTGAATCTATGTAGGAAAAAAAGTTATTCTTTACATGTTTCTTTCCATTGGGTTTACAGTGCAAGACTCGGCCTATCATCTGTATCATCAACACAAATACAAAGAAATAAAAGACCGAACAAATACGTATTCCTTGAAACAGGAACGAATGACATCTTTTCTGAATAAAAGTTCCTCATATTAAATGCCGACAGCAGCTGTCTATTATTAAAACACATAAATAAAAGTAAACCATAAACACGTACACCATGTTCTCATGTCAATGAACATGTAAACCAGTATTCTGCAGTGTGTGCCCAGAAAGGAGGGGAGTGATTTATCACGCCAACAACAAGAGGGAAAATCGCCAAAGTAGTGACAGAAGACATTTTCACACACAGAGAAGGACAGAGTGCATGATCATTAAATATTCAGCATGTTAGAACATCCATCCATCCATCGTCAACCGCTTATCCTGTGCACAGGGTCGCGGGGGGGCTGGAGCCAATCCCAGCCTTCATCGGGCGCAAGGCGGGGTACACCCTGGACATGTCGCCAGTCCATCGCAGGGCCACACATAGACGAACAACCACTCACGCTCACACTCACAACTAAGGACAATTTAGGGTAACCAATCAACCTAGCCTGCATGTCTTTGGATGGTGGGAGGAAGCCGGAGCACCCGGAGAGAACCCACGCAGACACGGGGAGATGTTAGAACATCTCTTTCTTAATTTTTGTGCTATTTGAAAATCAGAAACACAAATTAGAAAAACAGTGCACTGCCTATATTGAGAATAATTCTTATTGGCACTGGAACCCCCCCCCCCCCATTATTGAATAAGATAATGTTGTTAGTAATAGCAAATGTAACTGTACTATTTGTGAAGATTGAATAAAATATTATTTTAAACCACTGACATCTGAAATGAAGTTAATAATCTGTACATAGTGTTTCTGATAAAAATAAAAAAAACACTGACTATGATGTCCAGAAGAAGAACAAGCACATATGAAGGAAAAATTCTTCACAGTTAATTATGAGCAGTCTTGCATGAAACGTCTACTTTGCCAACACACCAGATACAAAAAAACAAAGTAAACTGGATTTTTTTCCCTACTAGAGGCTGTTGCTGAAAGGAAAGACAAAAAACCAAAGGTAAACTCAAGTACTTGTGTGTAGAGAAACATGGGAGAAAATAAAAACAACAACATATGACTGACAACACAAAAATGACAATATTATTAATCTTGCACTTCAAATAGTACAAAAATAGAAATGTTCTCATCCAAAGGTCAATTCAATAAATAGTTAATTAAAATGTATAGAAGGATTTGACAGAAGGAGATGGGATGGGGGTACAGCTGTTTTTCTGCTCCTACAGTTCATCTTTAGGGTTAATGTTGAGGCCCTGATCCCACACAGACTGTGTGTCCAACGCCTGGATCACCTCATCCGCCTGCAGTCTCTCCTAGGAGAGAAAAAAAGGCAAAAAACTGTGAATCTGTCCTCAGCAAGCTAGAGCAATAATTATACTGTAAGTAAGCCAAAGCATAGGGGTTAACAAAGAATTCATTAAATGGGTTGAAGCATGGGGTGACTGCTGGCTCATTGCTTTCCAAGGGTGAAAAGGGGGGTTCATCATTTCCTGTTGTTGGTCTGACAGGATTCATCCTCCAAAATTTCACCTTAATCTATCTTAATTATTGTTGAGCATTTCAGTCTGGACCTGTCTGGTGGACAGACCAACATTACCATCCGTAGATCCACGGCGTCAGCATGGCTAATAATGTACCACTACATGAACACGTCTGCTTGGACTCCCTTTGAAATTTAGAAAATAAATCCCTGTCATAAATCCATGTTGTTTCTTTTCAAAGAAAGTTTTAACCTGTGTTTGAAATTAATTAGATTATTGCACAAAATCTCCAATTTCAAACAACACTTATTTACTTACTTTACTTAGTTTTACAACTTGCATTTAATCCAAAATTAGGATGAACCTAGAAGCAAAGTGATTATTACAGTATGGCTACCAAACGTTCTTAAACGTTATTAGCTTACCAGTTCTCTGAATAGAGGGTCCAGGGTGAACCATAGAGCAACAGCACACCTCTGCCCAGTGGTGACGGCTTTCACACCGTGTGGATTCTCCCCTCCTGATGAGAAACCCACCATCCTGCCACACTTGGGCTTCACTGATGCCTGGAGAGGATGGAGGAGACGGAGCAGGAACAGGGGAGAGGTTAAAATTACCATCATCTCTTGATATTAGTTAGATCCTTGAGTGTAATCCCAAGTGAGCACCAAAGCTGATCATAAACTAGTTTTATGAACATCCTGTTGTATTTTTCCTTTTGTTTGTTCTTTCTAGCCACATGATGTCAAATACAATGCACGTGGCCATAGAGAGCTACAAGATGACAAATTTGATCCTCCCTTTCAATATGTTATTTAGCTCTCATATAGCCTCCTTTAGAGGAGTGTGTGTGGTTATTTCAGCCAATTGTGGGGGACAAAAAAAGTTTGAAACTGGCTAAATGTTGAGTACCAAGGCTCTAGTAAACTAATAAATAACTTGCAAATATAATATATGCATGGCCCAATGTGGGAATCAAACCCCTGACCTAAGCAGTGCCATGTTCACTGCAGTAAATCATCTTACCGTGACTGTTTTGGCATCCATTTCTGTGAATATGAACTCCCCTCCTTCAAAATCTCCATTTAGATATAACAGTGCACTGAAAGCAAAAAAGTAAAAGGGGCGATCAGTACAGACCAAACACAGCTGCAGCATAGTTGAAAGTATTTTACTTTTTTTTTAGTTTTATGCATGTTGCCAAAGGTAGCCTTGTACCTGTAGTCTCTATATGTATATGCTGGGGGTTCCTTCCAGCACTCATTGGCCTCAGGGTCCAGCAGACAATTGTCAGCATGGATGGGATGGCTCAGGTCATTCCTGTGATCTTGCTGGCCTGTAAACGGATAACCAGCACACACAAAAAGCATGAATACCTACCAATACAGCATTTCGAATACCATTTCAAATTAATGCTGTACTTTTCCAGGCTTTCCTTCCTGGGGCTTTTTAATTCTCACTACCCTGTCATATCATACAGTATGTGAACCATCAAGGATGGCAGGGACATAAAATAAATCTGTTGCAGTGCTATGCCTGTTTTGACTGCAATTATTAAAGTTGATGAACATGTCCATGTGTCAGTTAAGACACAATCAATCAAACGACCGTATATGTGTTTCGGTGTCAGGTGAGGTATGTTTCTGTGTGTGAGTGACCTGTGATGGCTGTCCGGCACACCAGGTGTGTGTAGGAGAAGTGCAGGGTGGAGTTGAGCCGGAAGTAAGACTCTGTAACCCGTCTCGCTCGCTCACTGACGTCGTAGAACAGGCGGGCGCTCCTCATAGGCACTCTTCCCTCATAGCCATACTGCAGGGAAGAAAAAAAAAATAAAAGACAGACTGAGCTCTGTATACTGCCTTGGTTACACTGATCCCCTGGTTTGAAATTTCTTAGTTTTAGATTCAACGGTTCTCTTAAACTCATTTTAGTTTAGATAATATCCCGCTTTCTTGCAAGCTTGACAACTATTTGGGTGGATGCAATCTTTGTAAATCATGCAGAGGAACCGTGGTACTCGTTTATGCTAGTGTTTAGTGCACCTGCAGGGCTTTGAGTACAGTGGCTCCTTCAAACTTCTCATTGGGAGTGTGTGGAGACATCCTCCCTCTGTAACCATCTCCAGCCATTGTGACAGCCTGGAAGATGAGAAAAAAAGCCAGAATTAAGCTTCAAGTACAGGCTTAGACACTGAACTTTAGCACAGGAACAAACACTCATTTAAAATCCTTATTTTATGAAGGCTGTGTAATATCCTTACATGTGCCAGTTGTCTGAGGTCTGTACACTCCTCCTCAGATATAACATGGTCCAGCAGCACCCGCTGGGTCCCATTCAAAGCCACAGAGTTCTGCACCAGCTGCACATTGTCATACAACAACGGGCCACCTGCCCAGATCACACAGTAAAAGAAGGCAACATGTTATCTCAGGTGGACACTAATAATTTTCTCTTAGCAGTTTAACTCCCATTGCAGCAAAGGTTTACCTTCTTTGAGTTGCTGTTGAACAGCAACAGTGACGTTCTTCTTCTCTGAGATTGGGACATACTCCATCCAGCCGTCTGTGCCGGAGGGAATCCTGGAAGAACAGAGAATAGAGAATGCATTTAGGCAAAGCTATGATTTTAAACTTGCAATACCAGATGTTTTTTGGCCACTTGGGGACAGAAACAAACTGTGAACACAACACTGACATATTATCATGTTTAAGTTGACATGTTGTACTTCTTAACAGTTGCTTATTTACACATCCAGCAGGTATGAAACAACATTATTATTATTATCATCATCATCAACATCACCTAATGAATGTAATTCCAATGTTCACCCTCCTTTAAGCTCTGTTTTAATCTCCAACAACTCCTGAGCAAAATATCTGGCCTTTTGCTGCTAAAAACTGTCTGTTTGATGTTGGGCAGATAGTGTTCAGTGGTTACAGTGGTTGTTTCTTGTGTTTGGTGAGACGAAGACAATTTCCTACCCCTGGCGGACAATGACGATAACAGCTGCGGGCTGGACAGCTAAACAATGAGCTGAAACTTGCTATAAATCTGTATAGAGTTGACAGAAACCGCAGAGTATGGTGATAATTCTCAGTGGGTTTGTCACCACAGGAGACCCTTTTCACACTACACATAGTCATTTGACCCACTGTTATTACAAAATTACTGATTATAGCTGCCTTTAACATCTGCATATGCAGCTTTTACTACTACAGAGGAAGAAGCTGAGGTATTGAGAAGACAGTGTATACCCTTTTCAAAGTTTTACATATGCAGAGGTCTCTTTACCTGTTTGAGTCATCTCTTCCACCTGTGCTGCTCCAGTAATTCTGAAAACAAAGGGAAATATTTTATCGGCACAGAAATGTGACATGTGTCTGTATGGCCAGCAGGTGTCGCTGTTTGCTGAGAAGACTGTAGTGAGTGATGGCCGTGCCAGACACCTGTTACTCTGCTTTGAGACAACTAGGCAGCGGGGGCACATTAATTGTTTACACACCCAGCAGAAGATCTGCTCTGCATCAGAGACATGTGGACTGGTTTACGGATAACTGCCCATTAAATTACACAATCTTTTTTTCATTTCTAGGCAAAACTAAGAATGAAAGGGCACAACTCGGTCAATAAATACTTGCAGCCCGTTTTAAGTATTTTTAAGTAAGCATGAAAAATGAATAGAATTTGGGATAATTTTGTATTCAATCAACTCACCCCTTCAGTAAATTCCACTCCCATGGTTTTACTACCAATCAGAAGGAGCTCCAGTTCCTGTTTGTGCCTCCGCAGGTACCATGCAGCTTTCTGCAAACACAAACACACCAAAGGTTTATGGTAAATAGTTAGTAAGATGCATGTAAATGCATGCTTTCTTCACTGAGAGATGATTGAGTTGGTAAGGGGAAAATAACTGTAGAAAAGTGAGAAAAAAATGCATCATATTGCTCATATTTAACAGTGCCATAAAGAAAAGTTCTATAGTCATGCCAACGATTTGGCTGACAGAATCATCTTTTTAATCTTTCTTATTGGAGTTCAAAATGTTCTCATCTTTGTTCTTTTTGTTGTACACTTCTATGAAGGAAAGCTTTAAGGCTAATCTTTTTGTTAGTGACAGCATGCTCCCGTCCTCTTTGATCAGCAAAATAAAGGGAACCAGAATGAGTTTCTCTTTCCCTCGGCTCTGTTCTCCTCAGTGCCAGGACTAATGGAGTGTGATGGCCTCTCTCTTTGTTTTTGTCAGATTTACTACTGATTTCCTGCCTGGAGTGAAAACTTGGAATGGAAACATCTGCTGTTTCTCAAGCCCAAAATGATACAGTAACAGTGGTGCTGCCTTTGGCTTGTAAGTGTGCGGCTTGAAATGACAGAAGGTGTGTTTGCATGTACAGGATTTTTGAGGCCAATACAGAACACTATATTAAATGTAAAAAAATGTGTTAGTAAGATATTGGCTGATATTCTTACATTCAAATGTAAAAACATAACAAACATTTTAAAATATGTTTATTAAAGCATTACGGCCAAGATATGTAATGAGCGGGGCATTGTACAGTGGAAAATTAAACTTGTCAGTGCTATCTGGTGGACAAACTATGTAATGGAAACACTGTACATACTGTCTCATTGGCATTTCTGGGGAGTGAGGCCATGTATGTATGAGTATTATGAAACTTAGGCATTCAGTAGCATTTTTCCTTGTTTTGTCAAGCACCCTTAATACAAATAGCCCTAAATTGTTCCAGAGACTTCTGTGGGCACTGTGACATGACTGTTCCTCCTCCTCCACCATTCCTGAATAGCAGGATTCTTTGGCAGCGAGGCAGGTCGGGCCTGGCACTGATATCTAGGGCTCTGTAAATGAGCTCCCCGAGGCTGGAGGGAGAGAGGACGCGGCGAGGAAAGGCAATCTGTCGGCCAATGACCATACTGTAAACTGATGGGACTGGAAAGACTTCGGGTTAGAAAAATGTAAGCTACGAGTATAGAAAAACATAAGCATGAGCAGCAACACGTCGGCTCTCAGGCTTTCTTTATCTCACCCGCACATACGCAATGTCAGCCACACACCACTCACACATTCACACAGTCCTGCAAGGAGCATCGCTCACTCTAATGAGTACCAGGCTTTCTGGGAAAAGGAGGCTAGGACTTAAACAAGGCACTGCTTGACTTTTCCAAGCAGCGGATCAGAGTTTAGGAAGGACAAATTCTCAATGCTAAAGTGGCTGAATGAAGAGTAGCCAGACTTAACAAATTGAATTTTCTCTAGCGGGGAGACACTCAGCCTTAAATTATAATAATAAAATAATAACTATAAGAGTGTTGAAAGAATACCAGGGGGGCGAGGTCATAAACACACTGACATAGCAAATTCTGCTTAATTCTTCCAGCTGGATGGAGAACACATGCAAGTGAAAAGCAAATTTTAAGAGGCAATTGCTGCCAATTGACGAGTTCATCCAAGAAATACAGCAAACGGCCTGCTGCCTCCCGTCTCCTCATTTTCCCTCAAATCCACACTTTTCCTCACCAGTCTCTTTCCCCGCATGTCTTCTTTCCTTCCCTCTCCTCTTCTAAAGTGTTTCACCACACTCCTGCTCATATTATTGCAATGCTTTATCCACTCACTTTTCTCAGTCTTTAATGAGTTGCCCGCAACTTGATTAGAATGCACATACAACCTTCAATCACAAAATGGTCTTTTCAAATGACTGCATATCACACTGGTTCCCTTTCAGAAGCTATCTTAAAAATGCATTTAATTACCTACAAGGCAATATCCCAAAGTATATTGTTGGATTTACTGAAAACTACTCTATCCTTAATGATATTTAACATTCTCCTAACCAATACACCAAAATCTGTAACAGATTTCGACATTGGGTCTTATTCTGCAGATAACTGATGTATTTAAAGTTTGGTCTACTTGTTTTAATCTGTAAGTCTTTATTTCCAAACCTACCTTTACTGTGTCAAACTCGCATTTTTCTTTTCTAATTCCTTTTAATCCCTAAGTCTACATTTCTGTAAACCTTTGTTTCTACTCTTTTTTTCAAGCACTTTGTAAACCTCTGGTATTGAAAAGTATAATCCATATAATTTTTATTTTTATTATAGCTCCCTAATCACTATTTTCTTTCTCATTATAAACTTTTGGTTCATTCATTCAGCAAGTTTTTGTGAGCCACCTATTCTCTCACAGACTTTTTATACGCAGACACAATGATCCATCCATCCTCACGGTGAGATTCCACATCCAGGTATTTACTTTCACTCCCAAACCATCTACCCCTCCCCACCCTGCAATGACAGCAGATCCTGACCTCTCTTGGCTTGCCATCATGTCCCAGCACCTCTCTGTAGTAATCCACGTTGTCTGTAACAAACTCCTCTCCCTCGTGGAATAACAGGTAGGTCATAGCACACTGTAGCGCGTCCTTCAGCCGGCCCACTGCAGAGAGAGACAGAAAGCAATTAAAGTAATTTCTCTTTGTGGTTTTACATATTTAAGGTAATCTGTGGAGATTTGGACCTCTAGTAGCGCTATGGAGCCGTTTATTTATGAGCAGGTCATACAACAGTTGGCGGTAATGCACCAAGAAACATAGGAACATTTTTCACATCAAAAGCAGTGAAAAAGATGAAAGATTAAAAATGTTCAGTCGGCTTTGCAAAAGTTTAATGAGGAAGGAAATGCATATGTTTCACATCAAGGATGCACACAACAAGTTTTGGTCAGTAGCAGAGTGAATGTAAAGAACTTTAAGGAGCCATAATCACACACACACACACACACACACACACACACACACACACACACACACGAGGTGCAGGTAAACTGATTTCTACAGAGCCGCTGAGCTACATATCTACTGTATGGACTGGATGAGAGTGTGTGTGTGTGTGTAATGTAGAAATGTATCTATTGACGCTGACATTCCGAAACCATTACTGCAGTGGAGCAAAAGCTGCACTCTGGCTGACATAGTGGAAAGAACACACACATGACAGTGTCAAGATGTCAGTGATGAAGTGAAACAGACGTACAGCAGAACCGTCCTGTACTGTCTTCCAGCTTTGAACACACTCGCAAACACACTTTTGTATTCATCCAAATGCAGATCCACAGACATACACAAACACGCCTGTCACCCCCATACACACTGCTCTACACTACTGCTGCTAATTACACACGCAAACACATTCTTTACTAGTTTGTAAAGGCACAGGGTTAACCAAAGACTTCCGGTCTTGGCCGAGGCTGAGGCAGCATATCTGCTGCTCTCAGCCATGTGTTCCCAGGTCAATAAGAGTCTGGAGATTTGAGCTCAGTCAAACAGAAAAACGTCACTGTGGATTTATTTAGAAATCAGAAGCAGCAAAAGCACAAAGAAGGGCTGCTGAGTGATGGCAAACCTCTGCGGCAGTGCAGTGTGGAGCCACTCAGGAGTGTAAAACACAGCAGGCCACAGTGCTGCTGGGTGTTAGAGCACTCATATTACTGACTTGTGGCGAGTAACTGCCATAGATTTCTAATTTTGACAGTAAGAATGCTGGTAGTGTAGAAAGAAAGAAGTAAAAAACCTGCTGCAATTCATTCTGCAAAAAAAACCAAACAGTCTAATTAAGCTAGATATGAACGAACTTGGCTCAGTGTTAAAGTAAAAAGTAGCCTTGTATACCATTTTTAAAACATGACTGCCAATATTGAAATCATACGACAGCTTTGATTTTGAAGTGGGTAACAAACGAGTGATTTAATGAGTGCTCATTTAACACAATGATTGTTAATTTAGGATTAAGATAGCTGAATAAATGTTACAGAGAGGCAGAACACGAATATAGTTAATGGCTATTGCTGAAAAATGCCAGCCATAGATAATATTAAAAAATTTGGTTATATATCGTGGAAAAAGTGAAGTAGAGCAGTCATTTCATAAGCAGTGATACACACTAAGCTGGGAGCAAATTTCCACCTTTACAATACAGTAGAATAAGTGACTCACCAGACACCTTATTTATAAACTCAGATAAAAAAAAGCTTTTGAGGCTTCCCCACACCCACCCCAGCGGCTGTTGGGAATCAAAGCCTGCTCTCAGTGTGTTTGCACACACTCAGTGATCCACTTTGCTTTATTAGAGCCATATGCTTATCGGTCATTAAGTATAATCTGGTGATCTCACAAGCACTCAGCACACTGTCTTTCCCAACTACGCTTTGTTGTTGTGCCAACACCCTTGTCTAGAAGAGCTTTTCACTACTTTATCAACAACAGAAGACTTGACAGTAGCCATCTATTCACACACACACACACACACACACAGAAAAAAACCACACCTGAGAGGCTCAACATCAGACTGGATACACCCATATACAAGTTGCACAGACACACACACAAACCACATGTCATTAATATGTGTGAGACAATGTGAAACTCCAAACAGGGTGTGGTCAACTGCTGATAGACTCAACCTGTATGCTGCTCTTTGTGGTCACCATGAGTTCTTGTGTGTGTGTGTGTGTGTGTGTGTGTGTGTGTGTGTGTGTGTGTGTGTGTGTGTGTATCCATCTTCTTTGCTCATAATTAAAACGAGCATAGTCAGAAAGATCAAGTTGGGGAACACTTTTTATTCCCTGTGCCAGTGTTAAAAATGTAATAATGTAATGACAAGTTCTGTCATGAAAGTGGTTAGAAATGCAAGTAATCCAACTGTACAAAGACAACTCACCCTGGAAGTAGGCAAACTGAAGGTAGTCATAGTGTAGAGGCAGGTAGTTCTCCATGGGGGAGAGTCGGCCTGGCCGGGTGGCGAGGTCTCGAACGCACTCGTGTTCACAATGCAGCACCTGAGTGAAGTGATCTGCAACAAAAGGCTTCAGATCAGTTTAAAGATAAGTAGTAGTGGTAAGCCACTTCTTAAATTTGGCATTTGGCGTATTATTTGGAATAAGCTGAGCGTTAGTTTAGGGCTGGATGCCAGTGTTCCCATTACCGATTTCACACAAACCTGCATATTGCATTCATTTGTGTACTTTAGGTTACAATAGTCTAAATGTTGTTTCAGACAGTCCAGTAATATTGATAACAACGTCTACGTGCAGTAAACCATATTTCTCAAACATTTAACTAGCGTAATTTAAACAAAAAATAGCATATCCAACCTTAAACGCAAAAGGTATTATAGAGAAGATGTAAATTATTCATTATTATACAAATGTTTTCGTTAACTTTGGTTATCCAAATTATAAATTTCAAACGTCTGTTTTTGAATGTTCATAAAAAAAAGGATCTCCTTTGATGAACTTTGTTCGGCATCAAGTTATAGGATTTATCTGAAGACTGAAAGGTGAAAGTAGATGCTGGAAAACAGATACTAGTGTGGGAAAGTCAAAGAGACAACTCCAACATGACATGCCACTCTAGATCAAAGCTTTATTTGTCTAATGTGTACAAACTGAACATGAGAGCATATCATAATGTGTATTGTTCTGTGAATGCTGAAAATAATTTTTACATTATTGCATTCATAGAACAATACACATTATGATATATGATATGATAAAATAATAAGAATTGGATATAAAACAGATGCTGAAAATTGCTCTTAAAGTGCATCTTTAAATGTCTCTTGTTCCCTGTTGTCCAGTTTTGGTGGAGTCTGTTTAGGATTCATCTTAACACATATTTGTGGAAAATAAAACCCCCACTGGAATAAGTTCAACTTGATGAGCTGTCTCAAACACAGCCAGTCCAACATCATGTCGTTCCATGTTGCTGTGAAGTAGATCAAATAAATGTTGCTCCCTTTCCAACAGTGCAGTGCTTTCATGACCGTGTTGTTCCTCAGGTGGTGATGAATCGTGCTGTTTGATCCATCAGGGAAGACAGATTTTACAGGGCGCGACATATCATTACCTTGCGTCGAGCCAACAGAGTGGATGATAGCATGCTTGTGTATTTATGAGTGCGTGCATGCGTGTGTATGTGTTGCGAGCGTGAATGTACAGTGAGGTCACCCTTGAGCAGCTGCAGCACTACTTTCCTCACCCTCAGACTGCAGAGCTGTGGTCTGTTTCAATCTCTCTCAAGAGTCTCAGAGGAGCAGAGATCTGAACTGTGTTAAGCCAGAATCATGCAGTACTGTGATGAAGGGTGCCTGGGTCAAAAATTATTTTCTTCTGGAAATTAAACTACATGAGGAAGTAATTCCATGAGATCCATTCTCTTTTATTAAGCTCACATAACAGATTATATTACTCTCCAAAATACATACATACATCTTAACACAAATAAACACCATATTCACAGGCTCTACTACAATGGTGCTATGGAAAATAATCCCTGATTGGAAGTAAAACAAAACCCGGCCACAACTAATTAGCTGTCTTTTCTGTGTTTATGCAACCGGGCCGTACATATTTAAGACAAAAAACACTTGTCAGCAATTAAGCTGCGACTACTGCACAAAACCCGCCTCAATTTCCAGAGAGGAAGGCCCAACTCGTGTCAACAAAAGCGCCACTGACCAAAATTGATATATATGTAACAGTAAAATTGCATAATTATGATCTGAGTTTTACTGTGGATACACCTTTTTATTTAAAGTCTATGGGATACACACATCCCTCCACATGAAACATGCCTGATTTTTTTGCAGGAACAGAGTTAAGGCCCTCTAGACTCCTATTGGCTGCACACCATGTTGTAAACAAAATAAAACAATAACACAGTACATTAAATGTGAGCTTAGTGCTCGTTATTTGTGAAGCTCATTTAAATTCTATGAGTAACGCTTGGTTATGACACAATGCTGCATCTCCTCTCTGTAACTGCCAGTGTTATCAATGCCAGTGGCTGCTAGGCTGAGCTGTAACTGTCTTATAGTGGCCTCTGTTGTTGAACTGCTCTGTCGTGTTTAGGGCACAGATGGCAGCAGCAGAGAGAGAGGGGGAGAGAACACAGGGCTATGGAGACAGGGAGGGGTGTGGCTTTGAGGAAAAGGTGGCTAGAGCTGTGAACGGTTTATCCTATTTACTTATTTTAAATTTACTTGCATGTTAATCAAAATAAGTAAAACATTAACAAACAGTCTTAATGTTGTTTAAAAATGTAACAAAAGCTGTAACTGAAAGCATGGACTGTGTTTGTAACAGGTCGTGCAGTATCTCTCCCTCATCCCTTATGTTGTATGTTTTCCCGCTTCCCTGTGTTTCCTGTCAGTTTCCCTGTGTATTTCTCTGTCTGGCATTTGTGTGGTCTGTCTAGGCGCTACATTCCTGCTCCTGCTGCCAATTAACCGGTTTACCGGTTATACATCCACTAATCAACAAACAGCAGTGTATCTTGCCCGGCTCTTCATTTCATTCTCCGCCAGATTGTTCAGTTTGCAAAAATGGTTTGTTAACTGTGACTATGTGTGTGAGTTGAGCTTTTGCATCCACAATCTGACACTACGACAACCAGGAGGTGTGGTCATCTGCTAGTAGGAAGCTCTAAAACCAGAATTTAAACTAGAATTTTAAGAGCCTTACATTAACATGGCATACTGTCAAAAAATCTAACAAGAAACAAACTGTAAGAAAAAAAATGTATTAAGTAATTTGTAGCATTAAAAATGTTTGCTGTTCAGCAGCCAACGCTCAACTTGTCGAATAAGGAAGCCTCTGGACCAGAATCCAAGAGCACTAAACTGGAAACTTTTTATACAATCCACATTTTCAACTGGAATTCCACAAAACAATAACATTAGCAATTGTTTTTGGAATAAATGACTAGATACATACAAGAATGTTCCTTTAAGAAAAAAACACAGATGGGACCAATCTTCCTTTCAATTATTTTTTATTGTTATTTGTTTTTTTTTATTTGATTTATTTCTAAGAGACTTGGCGCAATAATTCAATGTATGAGTCTGTGGAGAGCAATATTTTTTTGGATCAGCATGTTATCTAGTACAGAGAGTGTGCTAAAGCCCAATGCTCCCAATATGAATATATTGATATGGGCTGTCAGTTGGCATCAGCACAAAGTAATGTCAGTGATCCGATAACTTTGCTAAGTCAAATTGTAAAACCTTAATTTTCAAATTTTTTGTGTATTCAAAAATGTTGCTGCTTTATTTGCTGCATGCTGTTTTCTGTTTTAATACTCCAAGAACCCAGTGCTGTGGTGAACCACATAACAATGAAAAACTCTTCCTAATCTTGGTCTCTTGCTTGTGTTCGCAACATCCAACAGAGCCCTGCTGAGATTTGCACATAAGAAATCAGTTCTGAAAGATTTGTTATACATTTACTTACACCTTTTTATCTCCAAGAAATTCAAGCAATGCACTGACATATAAATCTCGATTTCAACATGGGGACTGCCAGAAAAAGCTTGGCGACCAAAGAAAACAAATATTGATACAATAATATTAGGCTTTAGTGTAACAGCCTATATTCCTTTTTCAAAAATATTTTTAGGCATTAGGGGCCGTTTTTTTTTTAACAAAGGACAGTAGAGAGACAAGACATTAAGGGAGAGAGAAAGGGAATAGCATGCAGCAATTATTGTACCAGGGAAGCAAACATGGGTAATGTGGGTTTTTAATGTGCTTTCACAGCCAACAGTCTGGGTATGGATATGGATTTAGGAACCTACAGTAATATGGCTGTTATCCCTCGTCTGCACTTTAACCCAGTGGCAACTACCATCTGGTGCCATGCCATTGCCAAGCACGTTTGATCACCTAGTGAGCACGAAGGCCCTTGTTTGGCCTTGCTTATGCCTCCCCAGGCTATCTCAGCACAGCAAAGCCCAGCTCGGGCTCAGGGTCACGCAGTACAGTTATACGTATTGGTGGGAACAGTCATGATAAGTTGTGATACGCTCCATACACCAAATACACACTGTAATGGACCTCTGAGGCTTTTCAAAATCAACTATAGACAGGATTTTATGAAACCATTGTCAGGGGGTTGTGGGTCTAAAAATCAACATAATGTGGTATTTACAAATCACTAAAAACACAAGGCAGGATTTCTCAAAAGGCAGACAACCTAAACAGCCGAGCAAGCATTAATGCACTGCAACATGCAGGAAGAGGTCAACCAGATCATACTAGCAATAAAATATCGCTAAGTCATTAAGTAAACAGTAAAATTCAGTTCAAAGAGCTTTGAAAACACAGCTGGGCAAATGTCAGATATCATCTTACTGTTTACTTTGTCACTGTATGTGCATGGGTTTTTAAATTAGGGCCAGCTATCATATGAACATCTATTCAGCATCAAGATGTTGTTGTAGATGTAACTGAAGGTGTAAACAATTTTACATCACATCCAAAACAAGAAATCCCTGTCTCTAATTAAAAACATACAATGTAAATAGCTAACTATTTCTCAGATTGTGCCATTTGTAAAGATGAATACACCAACAAATCATATCCAAAATCCACATCCTATCTATGTTCATGCTGAGACTTAATGCAATATGTGTTGTTTTAGTATTGCCCTGGCTTTCACGAATACCCTGCTTCAAACATTTAGAGTTATTCACATTACATAACCAACTAAGTATGTCAATAACTGTTTTCTGTTCAAGTAAACCTATTCAGATATTGTCTCTTACCTGATATGAGTTCATGGAGGCTGTAACGGTAGCGGAGGTAGTCATAGCCCTCAAACCTCTGAGGCCATTGACACAGGGCCCGACACTCCACGTCTGCTTTATAATATTCTACCAAAGCCTCCTCAAACAGAGCAATGGCCCCTTCGTAGTCGCCTTTATCATACAACCTCACTGCTTCTTTGAAGGAGTGCTGTGATGGAGGAGAGACGGAAGATTGTGAGAGAGAATTGAAACGATGGGATGAGTATTTATGACCCTTGGTGTTCAGCAAAGCTCTTTATGATTTGTCAGTGAATCAATGTGTTTATCTTTGACATTTTTATATAAGCAAATATTGTTCACTTAAGTTAAAAAGCACAACTGTAAGTAAACATGTAGCCAGTTCATAAAAGTGTTTTACAAGTCCTCTGGTGCACATCTTGTCTCCTGCAGCAGCAATGACCATTTGTTTGGGATAAACAGAAAGAGAGGTGGGTGGATTAGGCTGAACAGCTGCCAGGAAAGATTCTCACGTTCAGTTCTCCATGAATAAATTCAAAATAATTTATTGTCCAGTAAAAAATCCAGACGAGAAAATCCAAAAACAGATAAAAACTAAAGGTGAATTAATAATGCAAAGTCTATGCATCTGCATCAACGAGTACAGAACTAAGTGACATGTAATGATACGTAAAGCAAAGTCACAGAGATGGAATGCCTAAAATTATCAGTAATGCTTAAAAGTTTAGTTGAGGTATTGTTGGTAAAAACAACAGATTAAGGTAGATTTGTAGCTTCTCCAGAGGGTCCTACAGGAACTCGTATGAGATTGACTTGAAGATAAAGAGAGAGTAGGTGGGCAGAGGGGGAAATGAGAGAAGGGTGGGAAAGGGTGAAAGACTGTAAATGAATCAGCACACAAGGGATCCAAAACTCATTGGCATTCGGGGCTCCACTGCAACCAGCAACCACCTAAATAAGTTTCCAGTCATTAAACTGCAAAGGTTATTAAAACTCTTCATACAGCGACAGCAGCTTTACTTTTCCCTTTAGGAATGAAGTGAAGCGGCCAGACATTTAGGCCAGGGTAGAAAAAAGATGGTTAGTATCGATACCTGGTGAGGCCGGGCTTCTCGGTCCACAAAGTGTTCCTCCTTAACGCCCTGCAGGTCTTTGTACTGCTCCAGGTTCTGACCCATCTCCACATGTTCTGGGTTGGCCTGGAAATAGGTGTGAGCTGCTGCCGCCGCCTTGTCAGGCTGCTTCAACTAAAGAGAGAAACAGAGGGGGAAGGAAGGAGAGATGTTATTAAAATAAACAAAATAAATTAAATAAACCTGTGCATTAATGTGCACAAATTCACCTGTGTAGTTGATGGAGTTAGTTAAAATCATTCATAACAGGCAAGAAGAGGACATTCGCTCAGTTTTTCTTAAGGCTCCAACACAATCACAACATAAGAAAATGTATTCAAATACGTGAAACTAGATTTTCAAACTGAAAGAGATGGACAGGTCTCCATTATTAAAAATTGCAAAAGACATTGCCAAAGTTCATATGTTACTCTGAATCCTTAGAAGCTTTTAGAAAACAAGGAAAAACAGGCAGACAATCTGCTGAAACTGCTCCTGCAGGAAGGACAGACTACTCGCCAGAATATGAGGGTGCATTTAAGCCTTCCCTAAAAATGTGTTCTTGGCAAGTAATTTGGAATCCACTTGAAATAACTATTAATATTTCAGAATTTGGTTCATCAGATGGGGGTTAGCAGATTTATAGGGACACACTGTTCCCATCCACATCCTGTCATTAGAGAGAGCTGTCATTTTTACAGCTAATGATGGATGAAGTCTCTGCACTCAAAGCATATTAACTTGGATGGATAGATGGATGTTGGGGGTATTAAATCAGTGTTGGCAGCTGGTTTGCTCATTAACAAACCCAAACAGAAAAAAAAAAATCAGGTTTTCAAACTTTATAGTTTAGAGTATGTTTAAAGATGTTTAAATAGTGTTTAAAGAAGCGCCTTTTTCCAAACTTTGTCTAAGGGGAGGCCCACAGTCTCAGTCTTTGAAATCCCCTGCACTAAATACCAAAACGGTAAATTTTTACCTTGAGTTTTATCAAGTAATCATTTTCACAAATAATCGATTATTAGTTCAGTATATACAATGACAGAAAAGTACAGTCTCCATCACAGTTTACCCATGGTTACATATTTAAAAGATGAATGAAAAATGCTTTAAAAATTATATGATCTGGTATTAACCAACACATAGTAGTACTAAAAGATCCCAGATGTCTCTTGCAATCTTGTTTCTTGTAACTTTCAGGTGCTCTTTTATCCCTTTAAAAAAAACTTCATTTTGGAAGAACTCAACCATCTGAACATGCCAGGCCCTAATCAGATAAGATCCTAATCATGCTCAAGACTCAACATGGCTTAGGTTTCGCCCAGCTGGATTCTCACAGGAACACAACCACCTTAGACAAGGAGTTTGGTTCACTGCACAGCCAGGTTTTAAATATCCTGCCCTGTGAACTTTGTTGCATGTCAATCCACTCAACCTACAAAGCAAGAAACTAAATAAAGTGTCAAAGTTATTTTGTGTTTGACAGTGACTGAACGTGGGGGTGGGGGAGAGGATGACATGCTAAGAAAACAAAAGACAGGTACAGAGAGGTGAAAATAGACAAGGTTGGAGACAGAGTCCTTCTCTATTGTGATGGATTGCATATCTCTTACAGCAATATTAAGCCACTCACAGTATCGCAGAGACTTCTGACTGCATATGTTTAAATCCTCAGTTTAAATACGATTGTCAAACATCAAGAAAAGCAAACCAGATTTATTCTAAATGTTCTACTATTCTAACACATTAAATAAGAACATGCAATACAATGTGCCTGAGTCTTTGATTACAATATATCCTATTATTAAAATTATTTAAATACAGTATCTAATGTCAGAGTTTTACTGTGGCTTTTAACCTAATATTTAACAGGTGTTAATGTAAAGCAGATCTCAGTGGTTCACTCCAGAAACCAGGCTTTCTCCTGACAGTTGAGAAGGTCAGTCTTGCCTGGCTGCCAAAAACATTACTGGCTGACAGAGCTTCTCAACACACTCACCCCTCTGTTTTGACACTCAGCACTGGCTCACGTTTGCCAGGAAAGACATTTGCTGCAACAAAAACCTTTTTTCTGATTGTATTGTTTTCATGGGGTGAATTGGCAATATAAAGCTCAGGAATTCCCACGTTTATCCAATTTTTGAGAAATCTGTAGTTCAAGACTAGAATGACCTTTTCTGTGTAAACCCACGTAGATACAAAAACAAAGCACTTGGTGTTTTCTATGGGGGAGGCAAACAACTCCCACAAAGTCTGCACAATACATCATAAAAATTACTGAACTGCTCTGATAGAAAAATCAGACATTTTTCCCCACAAACAACCCACTTCTTTAAGAAGAATGACTCCCCTGTCAGACAAAAATTGGGTCTCTTTCATGTGGTAGCAGAGGAGACAAGAATGAAAAGCCCAGCTGGACATGCTTGGTTACCCCTGAAAAGCCAAAGGGTGAGGTGGCGTCGAGTGCATTCCTGGTCAGATAACCTGGCTGGAGCCACCGGGGAGACACAGCTCGCCTCATCGACCAACCAAGGGAGAAACAGAGCTAGGGAGGCGAGTGCCACATATTAGGTCTCCTTGTGCATTCCTGTATGCTGCATGACATGTTTTATAAAAATACTGTATGGAAAAACTGAAGCAAGACTAATGTTAAGTAAATGAACCTGAGTTCAGAAAAAAGACCTGAAGTTTACTTGCCGAACGAGGATGTTAATGGGAAACTACAACAACATGACAGTCAGCAGTATATATCTGTGCCTTTAAGGCATAATCTCTCCTGACTTACATTAAATACTTGTAGTGGGCATTCCTGGATCAACCATGTTGCTTTATGGTATACATTTTCTTGGATTACCAGCCCAATGCAGAAAATGCGATGCCCTGCTGCTAGAGTTCCAGATATTAATTGTAGATCAATATTCAGCTTTTTGAAACACCAACAGTAGTTTTAGTAGGTAAATGTAAAAAACAACTAACTGTAAATTAATAAGTAAAGCAGAAAGAACATACTAAAAACTCAACTATGAGCATGGAATGCATTAAACACTGTTGAAATCAGTGTATCTGAGGGTGGATTTTTTCTGATGGTGCAACCCAGTGCTATCATGTACCCTCTGCTGCTGCATTCCAGACAAAGTCATCCTTAAAAACACAATTGTCGACTTGGTTTCACTGGATTTGATAATCATCTGTTGATGTGTTTTGTCCAAATTCCCGCAGAATAAACAAGCAACAATCACATCAGCTGTGGTGTACAAAGGAGGGAAGAGGTGATGGAAGTCACCTGCCTCCACCTCCTCAGGCCGCGGCTGCCCTCAGCCCCACAGGAACAACCTGGCTCAGGGTGAAGGATCAACCGGTGGAAGTGGGGAATTACTCCAGTACAACATCCCAGCACAAACACAGCTGTGGTAAGCCACAGCCAGATCTATTGTCCCGAGACTAGACATCCCAAAATCTGGGGAAGCCTTGAACATAGGAGACTCACAGTATTTTTCCTCTTTTATCATTTGGTTTTTACAGTCATGGTTAACATTTGTAAGATATGTAGCAATATAGTAAAGCAATGGTATTCAAAGAATGCTTTAGGAGGGGCAGTTTATTCAAAAAGGGAAAAAAAGGATTGAAATGTCCTATGGCCAAAACCTTACATTTCTATTAGATTAGTTTAAATAAAAACTCCAGGAGTTATCTGGAGCAGTTAGGTCAGAAGAAAAAAAAGACCAGATCTACGGTGTTTTTCAGCGCATGACTCTAATGTGGGTGAAAATGGGTTTACAGTCATATTTAACAGCACCTGAGCTCACACATACACGATGGTCACTACTGCTTTATGGAGAGTACTGTATCAAACCGTCAAAAAGGGGTCCAAGCTGGGAGATTCTGAAATGAAAACACATGCTCACTGATCAAAGTGAGCAGAGTGAGAAGTTAAAACAACCTCTCAGGACAACAGAGCAGAGATCCATCATGGGTTTAAAGTGAAATTGCCATTATACTGAATAGCTTATTGGACGACAAGTCAGCTTGGGTAAATCAAAATGACTTGTCTCTCCTGTGTCTGCCAGAAGAGAAAATTGATACTAAGAAGGTAATTCATTTTCTGTAAAACGCTAAGCCATTGTGCTTCTTCTTCCCCTCTAAATGTCCACTGAGGTCCATTGTTCAAAATATTGTTATATAATCAGAGGCATTAAAAGAATTAAAAAGGCAGTTGTGACAAGAAAGCGAGTGAGTGTTTTTCAAAAAATGTTTATTTTTTAACTTACATGGATAACTATGTTAGTTTAAATGATATATAAATATTTTGGTTGATACATTTACATTGTCTCATGGTATGGATCGTCATATTACCCAACCCTATCTCTCCCTATCTGTTCAGCTGTAAAATTTCAGTTACACTTATAGAATTAACGTGACACTATAAAATTTGGACATATTAAACCATAGTGTTAATGTTACTGTAGGAAAGCTGCTGTTTCAGGCATGCTCAGTTGCTTTCAACTTTGCTCCACATACAGACACTGAAAATGTTAATGAGATAGCATTACACAACATAAATATTCAATGTGAACTCTATCAATTAATTCTGACATTAAACTGTACAAGATTTAAAATCACAGCAACACTAAAACTCAGCCATTAAAAGCAAATCTTGAAAAAAATTCTGAAGTATACATCTTGTACCACATGAGTGCATTTTTCCTCTCACATGAATTTCAAAGGGGAACCTGCAGAGGTGAATAACTACCACTCAGTCTGAGCCCTCAGTTTGCCCTCCTCACTAAAGAGTAACCTGTGTTAGAGCTGCTGGATGGCCCTGCCACTCTGAGAGAAGAGCTCTTGATGTGGGCACTAAGTAGTGCCAAGGCAAACGTACATTTGCATGCCTTTCTCCTCTGGCCCTCCTGCTTGATTCACAGGAATGTAAATAGGTTTGGACTGGCACCTTAGATGCAGAGATTCCAACGGCACAAACGAGCCTGAAGATAGTTACACAGATGGCTTGTCAAAGGCAGAACTACCACCCAAAAATGAGAGAGGAGCTGGCAGCAAGTGATCAATGAGTGGTCAAACCTGGCAATCCCAGTCCTGAATACTTGAGAGACAACCTGTTTCCAAGAGTTTCTACGGTA